ACATCGTACGCCGAACGAACGATAAAGCTCAGTCGCAGCGGGGTCATCCGCCAGATCTCACCCCATGTGAGTATTCTCGGCAATGCGCTCTCTACTAAAAGAACTCAGTGTCAGCCTGAGTCTGAATTTGACTGAAACTAGCCAGGAAACAATCAATCAATACAGTCATTGTAACGATGAAGCTAGAGAGATGTGTCTCTTTGTTATGAGTGTATGACAAGCAAGCCGCAGTACTTTTGTTATTGGTTATACACGGGAATAACCATTGTTAGAAAATTCCTGGGCTAGTGAAGTAGCATGAGAAATGAATCCACTTGTATTGATTGACACTCACTGAAACTTTCAGTATTTGAAATATCCCAGTGGGTTAGCCACCGTGGCGTGGCTGTTAGGCGCATGCATATGGACTGATCCGACGGTCATGGTTCAAATCCGCATGACGCCGGATTTTTTTTTCTTCAAAAACATGACCTTGGCTTCAAATCGACCTAGCTTTGAATGGGTACCAAGTAAAGTCCTGGGAAGTAAAGGTCGCCGGTCTGATGTTGACCACATCACCTATCGAGATGTATGTATCATTAGTTTATAACAACAATGAGTCTACCCTCATATGCTATGAATTAATCAAGTAACAGAAAGTGTATTGATTGGCACTCATAGAAAGAAGTAGAAAGATAGAAGAAAACCCTAGACAACATAAAAATGGAAAGCTAAAGTTACCGTTCCGGGAATTGAACCTGTTACCTCCAGACGGCGTCTGCGCCTCGCCATGAATACAAGTGCACTAAGAACATGGTCAACTAGGCATCCCCTCATATGCTAGAGGCACCACTGGCGTACAAGGACCCTTTATTTTCACCTCACGTCATATGCCAGTGGAACAAAAACAGCCATTTGTTTTCTGTTGAGGTAAGCTTAGTTAAGAACCGACATCACAGCGCATTCCCATACCCGCTAAGTACCCGTCTCACCAGCCAGAGAAGAGTTTCCAATTCCTATGTTACAAGTGGCAGTCCGATTCTTCGTCCTCGCATTTCCTCTGAGTGTTTTTCAGCCAGAAACCTATGGTCAGTCCGTGTCACATCATTCTTTTCAGCCCTAATGATCTATCGCAAAGTGTTTTGGCCACATTGATTTATCGTGTATCAGTTTACCACCCACTGGTGCAGCACCATCTATTCTGTCTCTTTGTTTCATAAAGCATCTTTAGGGGACAAAATCCAAACAAAGCCAAAAACTTTAATGTAATTATTCGTAATAAAATAGTGGTCTCGTATGTTTTAGATCTTTGTTATTAGTTTTTTTTTAAATGCCTTAAAAAGTAATCATCGCTTTATGGATATGTCAAGACGGGGATGTTTTGCTACCGCACATGATCAGAAAATCACAGAGCGGATCCGAATTATTGTTTCGCCTAGGTATATTGTCACGTAATCCGGATGAGTTAGTTGCTTATCCTTTACAGGACGTTGCAGAACCAACCCCAGCATGTTTTGGCCGTTGTGGTTTTTTTAAGGCAGATTTACGTCCAGTAGTTTGCCATTGCTTTCTAAATAGTCAGCTTCTTGATACCACTGTCGATACCAGCGCAAGGCCCGCAGCTGGGATCGAACCCGGCACCCTGTATTACGAAGCGCGCTCGCAACCCCTAAGCCACAGACGCCGACAGTAATCCGGATACTTTGTTTAATTGCCTTCCTCTACCCCCCCCCCTCACCCCCACCTCCCCCGCCTCCCTTTTTAAGTTTGCTAATTGTCACTAAGCTATGCCAGGTACCTGACACAGTTATGCTTCCTAACCAGTTCACTTATATGTTACCTATAGTGCTCTTCCAGTGGTTGGATGCGAATCCTGTCTAAATTCCATAATTGTTGATGTCAATTGTTATTATATAATTATATATATAGAAATAATGAACCATTGAGGCCACTGAAATTTAATTATATTATATATTTATATATATATATATATATATATATATATATATATATATATATATATATATATATATATATACATATACATACACATATCCATCCATCCATACATACATACATACACACACACACGCACGCACGCACACACACACACACACACGCACACACATATACACGCACACACATATACACGCACACACATATACACACACATACATATAGGGCCCTTTTTCACGCCTTTAGGCGTATCGGGCATATAGGGCTAGACCTATATTTTATATACTAATCGGTCCTTGGCGGGTAATGTGGTCAGCATCACACCGAGCGCCTTTACTTCTCAGGTCTGTATCTGGTATCCACTGAAGGCTGGGTCTACCTGGGAGTCAATGTACACTTAAACAAACAAAAAAGTCAGGCCTTGAACCCACTACCTTTCGATTTGCAGGCGAGAGTACAGCCGTTACACCTGGACAAACTGGATGAACTGCATTTTCAAATTCAACAGGTTTTTAAATAAGGATGGTTTTAGGTTTGAACAATGGATCAACATCATATCACACGGGTAGTAAACCCATAAGTGTTCCGTTCTTCTTCTAACTTCTAACTTTCAACTTCAAATTTTGCCCTGGCAGCGCCGTTAGGCTACTCTTTTCAATTTTCAACTGCCAAGGTTTTTTTTTTACGTGTGCAACAATACACACAGGGGCGTAAGATCTCACTACCAAGAGACCAGGGGAAATTACTAGAAGTCCACGTCCACGTGAAAAAAATCCTAGCCCTTACCGGGGATGGAACCCGGAACCTTGAGCAATCGAGGCAGACACCATGCCTCGAGACCACGCAGCTCCCTAGAAAGATGGTTATGAAAACTAGAACAAGATCAAATGAAAGAATCCCCATCTAACATTGTAATCAAAGAAGGAAAACAGAATGAAACTACGGCCTACGTTAAATAGTTTTTTTTTTTTCGAGAAAATGGAAACTAAGTAAAGATTCTTTGAAGCAGCACTTTTCCCTCAAGGCTCTCTAGAAACACAAAACCCGTCGGGATGTTGGACCGGAAGATTCTTCCAGTGATGGAGTGAAAGTGTTCGAAGAAAACGGGTAAAACATTGGAACCTTTATTTAACCTGTTGGATGGTGTCTTTTATCCTGTTCTACAATGTCATATTGATCGATGTCCCTAAGAAATGTGTGGTTTACATGGAATCTCATTCTGATCTTTGGACAAGTTTCGCATCACACTATATCAAGGGCGCGCTAAGACAATGAAAACATAATTGGCGCACAGGAAAAAAAAATTGACAGATGAAGGGAGAGGGTGTTGGGGCCCTTGACACGCTTTCTATTGAGTTGGGCTTAGGCCTTGTTTAGGTGCTAACAAATAAGTCAGAAATGTAATAGTAATAATTAAAAAAAAAAGTATCTGCTGAATGGCAAATAATCTTTTTTCTTCTAGATTGAAAATAATATAAAACACAGGGTCTCCTCGACTTTAACAACCGAGTTCACTCCCAACTAACAAGTCGTTAGTCGAACTTGTCGTAAATCGAAATTATATTTTTAAACATTTTTTTAATTCAAATGATTTATAGAAGTAAAGAAGTAGAGATCCCTTTTCACGCCCTAGGCGCATCAGGTATATGGGAAGAGCGTCCCATATTTTTACAGACCAATCGGCACTTGATGGGTAATGTGGTCAGCATTACGCTGGCCGTCTTCACTTTACCAGGACAGCCATGCTGGTACCCATTTTAGGCTGAGTCGACCAGCGACGCCCCATACCATGATAAAAATCCACGCAGCCAGCCGTGGGTTTTGATCGCGGTACGTTGGATTACGAGTCGGACTCGCAACGCCTAAGCCAAGGTAAATAAAAAAAACAGCCATTTAATCAGTGCACCTACAAGTAGTGGAAATAATGTGAAAAACACACAATACGTTCTCTGTTGTATGTACTGTAAACAAAAACAAAAAATACAACCTAGATTACCTTTTTTTTTTTTCTTTTTGTGTGTAGTAACTGCGAATGGTCGTAAGTCGAGGAGATGGTGTAAAAAAAATATAAATAAAAAGTTACTTGAGTGGTCTAGCCCTACCCCCTGTGTGGATGGGTGAGGCGGCTTAGTTCCCTATTTAACTTAAGCAAGAGCGATAATACATGAGCACCCAGACTGCAACGCTTCAGCACTGAATATTTCTTTAGGCAGCCCTGGCGTAGTCGCTAAGACGTTTGCCTTGTATTCTAACGGCTGTGAGTTCAGTTTCGTTGTATTCTTCTGTTGTCGGATGAAAGTGTTTCGAAAATATCTGGTGAACATTGTTAGAGTTTCAGGGTTCATGCTTTGTGCAACGATTCTGTAAGTAAACAGCCGTTCCGAGGAGAGAAACTAAGCCACAGGGGATAAAATCCAGTGCAACGAAGTTTCCCGTTTCGATTTTAAACTGAATTTATACCTTTGGATGTGTTTTCATCACTTTATTGTAGAATCTCTTGTCGAAGCGAAATTTAATATTGAAGAAACAAAAAATGAGGAGGAGGAGGAGAGAAGAAGAGGAGGAAGAAGAAGAAGAAGAAGAAGAAGAAGAAGAAGAAGAAGAAGAAGAAGAAGAAGAAGAAGAAGAAGAAGAAGAAGAAGAAGAAGAAGAAGAAGAAGAAGAAGAAGAAGAAGAAGAAAAAGATTTTCAATCGTTCACATAGTGAGCATGCAAGCTCTTCTTGCATACGGCCTTTTGAAACATCCATCTATCACTTTTATTTACAAAGGATGTTATGTTCATAAACCAAGAGTTTATTATAAAGAACAAGATAAAGAAGTAGAAGAAGAGGAGGTATGAGAACACAAGTGGTAAGAAGATGATTCTTTTGATATGGTGATATAATAACAATCAGCGTATAGTGATGCATAATAACAAAATGAATATGAAACGGAAGTTGAATGCGCCAGACTAGGGAAAAAACAAAAGTACGTATCAGGAATACTAGTGACATTCTTCAGATGAACGTATACGCAGTTTCAATAAATTAGTTTGATGATGATGCTTTGCTCTATTTTATTCAGATGGCGTGCTGGAGGTTCACAAAGATGATAAAAGACTTGGTGAGATTAAGTCTGGTGGTTTGTTTGGCGAGCTTGCTATCCTATACAACTGTACGCGCACAGCCTCCGTAAAAGGTAAGGGTTAAAGGTTAAAGTCGAGAGGATCGATGTTACTGCACCGGGTTTTATCCTATATGACTCGGTCTTTCTCAGCAGAAAGGCTAGCCGCCTGCCGAGAGCGCTGTACAGAGCAATAACTCTGTAGCTCCGGTGACGATCCCCATGGATCTTTCTAAAAATTGCGCTCGTGAACTGAAAGGCGCAGCCGTGGAACGAACCCACGACCTTCGCCACGAGGACCACTGATGAAAGGAATAAGTTAAAATAGACTTAAACACAACTATGGTTAGTTGCGTATCCTTTACAGGACGTTGTAGAACCAACCCCAACAGCCCCTGACTGTTGTGTGGTTTTTCTAGGCAAATTTACGTCCAGTAGTTTGCCATTGCTTCCCGGACGGTCGGAATTCTTCATACCACTGTCGAAACCAACGCAAGGCGCGTGCCTGCAGCTGAGATCGAACCCGGCATCCCGGCATTACGAAGCGTTCGCATCAACTTACACAACTATATCGTTGTCCATTATATGACCCATTAGTTTAAAGATATTGAAGAGATATTCAAGTTACAGGGAGAGGTCCCAGGTACCCCGTTCATCTCATAAGCTGTGTTATATTAGGGTCCCCAGCAACAGCCGGAGTGGGCCTTTAAAAAAAATTGTGTCTGACACTGGGACGCAGTATTAAAAGGCAGAAGTAGCGGAAATACAGAGTTTCAACAATATCAGGATTCTGTGGCACAACACTAGAAAATGTCTGTAAGTCACACAAGTAAAAGTATTGTAACAAGAATCGACATCACAGCACTCGAGACATTCCCACATGTGCTCTGTCCTTATTTGCAGCTGCCAGGGAAAAATCCCAACTTCACGGCATCATTAGAAGTCTGCATTTCCTCTGAGTGTGGAGTGTCAGCCAGATAGATCACTGGTCACTCCCTGTTGCAGCACTCACCCCTAACTATAAGCAACTGGGTACAAACAGTTTATTAAACGGAACGTCTCAGTGTTTTATGTTATTTCATATCGGAATGTAACAATGTTTTTTTTTTTTTTTTTACTTATAATTTAATAAAAACATCTGTGACAATTTCTCAGAAAACATTTAGTAAACACAGAATGTTAAAAATATTCTGAATATAATTCAGTGAATGCGGTACATTAGGATTACATTTTAATGGATCGTTTAGTAAATGTAATTGATTTGTTTTTTAAAAACATATTTCGGTAAACAAATGTTGTAACCATTTCATTCTGGATTGTATTTTAAAGTAACCGTAAAGGGTACATTTCTTCACATCCATTTAATAAACACTATACATTAACCTCAAATATTCTTGTCAAACATTGAGAAAGCTAGTATTTCAACATTCTTTCCATCTTCTTCTCTCTTCTCGGAACTGATAGCTGTGACCAATACAACGTTATGGGTCCTAGACCGGAGAGTTTTCCAGACCATCATGATGAAAACTGGTCTAGAGAGGAGAGAGGAGAATATCTCTTTTCTTAAAAGGTAAGCGGTTTTTTTTTTTTTAAATCCCTATTTTTAAATAGTCTAGTACAGTGATTCCCAGACTGTGAGCCGCGGCGCCCCTGGGAGCCGCAACTTTTCCGCGAAATATTCGAAGATACACGAGTTTTATTTGTTTTGATCTCTTACATACGAATAGTCATACTTTTGCTTAGGTTAGGGCGCCTAGAAAAATTTGTATTGAAAAAAAGGTGCCGCGACTATGAACAGTTTGGGAAACACTGGTCTAGTGTAAATGTGTTACCGTTTCTTTCTTCCGTTTCTAAAATAACATCATGGACAGTCCATATTTCAAAGAATAAACTAAAGGTTAGAAAATGAGACATGTCTGTCTTTTAATGGCGTGTCACACATCGATAATGTTTTATTAGCAAACAATTTAACACACATAAATCATAGTTGTTAGTCGTAATTCAAGGTTCCGGCTTCATTGCAGACGGGTGACTCCATAACTTCTTCCGTTCTGTGACAATGTAAGTAACATAAAGTGTCCTGCACTGTCTTATTTAAGAAGCTAACGAGACACATGTCAATCCCAGAAATAATCTTAAAGGTCACACAGTCATAGTTAAAGCATATTACAGCCGTCCTCTGTTTTGTTTTTGCAAGCAGTCAGTCTCGAAACTAACATTTGTACTATATAAGTAAACTCCATTACGAAAGTAGTCGGCTCTGTGGCTCAGTCGATGCGAACGCTTCGTATTGCCGGGATGCCGGGTTCGAACCCAGCTGCGGGCCATGCGCCTTGCGTCGGTTTTGACAGTGATATCAAGAAAGCCGACCGTCCAGTTTAATGGCAAACTACTGGACGTAAAATTGCGCAGAAAAACCACTTGACAGCCAGGGGCTTTTGGGGTTGGTTCTGCAACGTCCTGTAAAGGATACGCAACTAACCCATTACGAAAGTAATCTGTCACCCATTATAATGTTTAGATATGCCGTTGGTTAAAAAAAAAATTTGAACTGCCCCTTGCATAGCCTTTTAGACGCACTGGGTGTAGAGTAGAATAAAGAACCTCTAATACGCCATCCACATTAAATAAACCATGCAATGGTTTATCTCTTTGCCTTTCCATTGGTCTTCTGTCGTCAATCTTGCCAGTCGTCACCAAGTTCTCGAGTCAATTCTTTTTCATAACATGTCAAGAAAATACTTACTGTCGACGTCTAATTTCTCTACTCGGTTTACACATTTCATCTGTCCAAAAGAAGATTGTTCAAATAAAAATCAATCCGTGACATTCCTGACACTCCTTAAAAAGCCCATATGAGTACAGTAATGATGTCCTATAGTCCGATAAAGTGCAGCAGGGGAAGATCGTGGCAAGGAGTCATGACCCATGTCGGTCCACCTTCCGATATTGTCTAGTAAGTAGTAAGCCGAAACAATTTTCTACTGATAATCGGTGGACACCTGCTGTGCATGCTTCCCTGTCGAGTTCTTCTTATTAATGCTAAGCCTTCCAGTATCATCAATCTTGATCTAACAATGCCTTTCACTCCCTTCAACTTTCATGTTGTCACTAAGTATTCTAATTTATTTCATCATCTCTTCTGCCCAGCCATATTCAGAAAGCAGAACTTAAAATTTGCATAGAAAGACTACAACAGCCAAAAAATGCTGGGGTTTGTTCTGCAACGTCCTGTAAGTGATACGAAAATAAATTGACTCTTCTGCCGAAAAAATGCGAATTATATTCTTTCAGTACGAATAACAATTCTCTCTATTGTTTCCCTCTCTTATAAGCTAAGTGATCATGTTGATGGGAATAGTTAAAAATGATTTGGGGTTTCCTTTGCTTCATTATCCAAGTCCTGTCCGGATAATTCTAAAAAAATTAAAATTGTGGGATATTCCGACGCACTTTCAGACTGCTGCTATTAGCCAAGGTTGCTAACAGTCTCCGCCTAGATTTGTGTCTGGGTTGTTGTGTCACGCACTAAATTCGAGTGTTTGAGGCATTTCTGGGCTTGATGCTTCCATCCGATTTTGACCGCTCGTCCTCCACCCTGTTGTTACTTGTGCATGTCTTTCCTCTTCTTCCTTGGTGTTTACTGTTTGTTCTGTCTCCCTTTGATTTGGCCAGGCGTATTTCGTAGTTCTGAACCATAATTTTGCAGCATTTAAATATGGCACCACGTCTGGACGGGTTTTTGTTATGAAAGGAAAATGTAAATTGTCAGTGATCATATAATTGCTTCAATTGTCCTGTCTAAGGCGGTGTTGTCGCTTCTGTTTGATTTTTACAGAAATTGTTTGTTCGTAAATGAAATGATCACAACGACGACCTTTAAACGAGATTAAAAGAATAAGAAAGGAATTTACAATCTCCACAGGCGGCCATTTGCTTTTGCTTTTAACAGTACAATGTACCTTGTTTCCACTTTCCATTATTGTAAGGTCTAAAACAGTGTGAGTCTTAGACAGTGTTAGTATATTTTTTCCAAATGATTTGTTAGAAAATATACCATACAGGGTCTCATTTTGGAATGCCGGTTCAGGGCGACATAAAAAAGGGAGACATCCCCCCCCCCCCCCACACACACAAAATGAGTAGTTCTATCACACTGTAATGGTTGCCCTGTCTTCGCTCTCATTTAAAGTAAAGGTCAATTTTCCACGCCTTTAGGTGTAAAGAGCATACAGGTCTAGACCTATATTTTTAAAGACCAAACGACACAAGATGGGTGATGTGATCAGCATCACGCCAGCCGCCTTTACTTCCCGGGACTGCACCCGGTACCCAGTCATGCTGGGTCGACCTGGGAGACAAGGTAATTTTTGAAAAAAGTCCGGCTCAGCCAGGGAGCAAACCCACGACCTTCCGATCCGCACGCAAGCGTATAGCCACTACGCCACTGCAACTCCGTTCGCTCTCCTTGTTTCGAGCTTATTTCCTAAGGTAACGTGTTGCCCAGAAAATGTCTCAGAAAAGATTGTCGTACACTGCTAAATTCTAGTTTAAATTTCCGGCTCCCACAATCTAGGTGCGTTTTATACATAGGATTATCTTATACTTCGGCAAATACAGTATGTCTTTCACTTTGACTGGTTATATAGGTGATTCCCAAATTGTGCGCCGCGGCGCCCGTGGGAGCCGCCACCTCTTCACAGGGGCGCCACGAAATATTCGAAGATACACGAGTTTTATATTAGTTTATCTCTTGCATACAAGTAGTCATACTTTGGTTATGGCGCTGTTGAAAAAATTTCAACTGAAAAAAAGCGCTGCGACTAAGAAAAGTTTGGGAAACATTGGGTTATATTATTTCCTATATTTGCACATTTAGACGCACTTAGCCAGCCTTTGGTGAAGAACCACTTATACGTTAGCTACTCATGGGTCATTTGATTTTAGATCCCCGTCTCAATTTGGGATTCGCTTTTTGTATGTGGTTTCTTTAAAGCCCCACCCTACCGTCGTCTGGCCCCTAAACGTAACCTACGTGTTAAACGAGGTTTCTGGGACTTGCGACCGGGTGATTTTCTGCCGAATGGTGACACTTTGTGTCACCGGGTGTTGGTGGCTCGTTATGCGGTCCTGGTGGTGGTTGAACTTCAGTCAGTCGTGGTCATTTGATGCTAAACATACTTGAATAGACCTGTTGCTTTTCGGGGGTGATATTTCGTGGCTGCAGAACTAGCCATGCTACCCTAAATCTGGGGACAGAGGAACGCCACCCCCTCTTAATCCGCTACCGGTCGTCCATTGGCTCGCCGGTGGACGACTTCGCTGCCGGTCGGGACAGTATTTAGGCATTTGTCCATTTGATCGCATCAACACTACAGGAGACTGTTTCAGGGCTCTTGGTGGCGTGCAATGTTGAGCCATTTTTTATGGACCACGTTACCTAGCCACACTTATAACCTAAAGCTCCCTCTTTAGGGATGCTAGTTGATTGTATCGATTTTCCCCCTTCAGAACGTGAATGTATGGGTGGATTGGTTGACCCCCCGCCCTAACTTGTCAACCTAAAAAGTGGTAATTAAGGCAGTAATCACGTGTTAAACATACAACAGTTGGGCACATTACAGGAAATTGTGACCTGAATATTATCGATTGTCACAAAATGACAGAGTGAGAAAAAAAATGAGATAACCCCGACTTTCATCTTAAAAAAAAAAGGGTTATGAAAAAGGTAATGCAAATTAGCCGCCCTTATATTCCTCAAAAGCATATGGCGACTGTCAACCTAGAATTCAAATAATTCATCAAATCTGCGGTGAAATGGGTCGTAGGCGAACTTGATCTTACTGAGTGGCATACCATTAGAGGAATTGATCTCTGATTTTTTGGCTACACAGGACTTCACTTTTGAAATATGACTGTTTTCAGTGCTCGCGCTGACCGCTCGGGAAATCCAACAGTCCCCGCGATTTTTTGGAAAATTACGGTAACACTTAGCGAATGAATTTGAATTAAAACGTATTTACAGATTAGGACGCGCCAGTAAAGAAATATCCACGTTAACAATTCATCAATGAAGTGATGACGGTAGTAGTAAAGACTGTTCAGACCGGATTTTTTTTAAAGCGTATTCCCATCAAATACAAAAGTAAGAGAGTGTATAAGTGAAGGGGGAAATACAGCAGAGAGGGTGATTTACACGTTGGAGGCTCAAGGAGCTGAAGACTCAACTCACATATCTGGCACATCAGGCATGTGGTACTCATTTAGACTCAGTCGGTACTCAGTAGGTGATATCGTCAGACCCACAACGACTGTCTTTTATTTTCTGGGACATTTGTTAATATCAAACTTCGACTGGGTCAACGTGGTCAATTTTAAGAATACCTCAAGTGACTGAACCTGAGACCAGCAAAAAAGATCTTGGCTACTGCTCTGCTGCAGTCCCTTTTTTAAAAAGTATATACTGTGCAGAAGATAAGGAAACCTCATCGGAGACCCAAGAAATAGTTCTTTTTATCAGAATTGTATCTTATTCAGATAAGAGAATTCGAAGCAGGAAAAATTGCCGGA